AGGATAAACCCCAGTTCGATCCAGAAATCAAGTTTAGTATTTGGATGAAAATAATGAAATCAGACAACTCATCTGTCATTTATAAATTTGACGCAGATCGGTTTAATTCTCAAGATAGTCTCAAGCTCCAAGTCAAAAAGGAATACACGATCTCACTTGAAATTAAACCAAGGCTAGATGTCCAATTACGGTACAGTATTGAGATTGAAATTTTCTTGTTAGCAAAGTGCTGTTGCTTTCAACGTTGAATAGTTTGTTTCAACGTTAAATGTTCTCCTAGACGGCTATACCGATGGAAACTATTCCTTGTGGAGGCGATACGAGAAAATTTGCATTTATTCAAAGTATGCTAAAGGAGTTTTCAAGAACACTATAGGCAGATATTTTTTATGCATTCTGAATATTTGGCTTTATTTTATTCCTCCTAATCGTTGAAATGTTTCAGTAGATAGGCCACACCCCTCTTAAATATTAGCATGAATCGTAAAGCTTTTATTCATTTTTTCATATTGAATGACATTTTTGCTGTTTTTTTCGTTTTTCAAACTTTAATTTTTTTTATTTATTGAAAGTTCTTGACACAAATTTTCGTTATTCTTATTGACTAAAAGTTTATTAATTTCTATCTGTCAAATTTTAATACTTCCACAATAACTATATTTCGTTGTTGTCTGTTTGGATGAAAATATATGGTTGCCATAGCTACGTTAAAAGGATGTCGATAGGAATTTTTCCGCACTTCTTTTTTCCCAATGAAGATGGAACAATAATACTAATATTTAGAATCTTTTTCTATAAACAAGTTTGTTCTTAGCAATGAAGAACCAGTTATCCTCATGGAAATATTATAGTAAAGATGAAATTTGATATAGTTGAGTAAACAAAACTTATAATATATATTGGTTGAAGTTCAATGCATAACAGTGCTTTCTTGGCGGTTCGGTTTTGTGAGAAGCAAGTTTCTCTTGCGCAGAAAAAGTGCCTTGTTTGGTTTGTCTGTGGTCTCCCACACTTTGAACTCGCGGCAGGTCGATACACTGTATTTTACCCATTCCGAATGTGAAATGTCTTTATCATAACTAGCTTAATTAATTGCAGTTTGAGGTTTTTCAAAAGCTGATACGAGCTATTCAACAGTATAACCAGGCCGCTAGCTCTTTTACGTCATCAACGATAGATTGTTCTTCCATGATGGCACATATGACCTAGGATTTAAACCATTTGCTTGCTTGTTTTTGACAGCAATTCATCTTTTCTTTTCCAGTTTCTCTTGGCTTTCAATTTCTAACTTTCCTTTGCAATCGTTATTTCATCAACCTGTGGCGGTTTTCCATTTCAACCTTGCACTAGACAATATTATCAAATAGCCTTCGTACCTTTCTTCAATACTCGACTGCTTGTTATACCTGTTAAATTTTTCCTTATCAGTATTTATTATAGATTTCATTTTTTTCTGAGAAAATACTATTGTCTTCTATGGCAACAGTAAATATAAGTATTATATACTTTTTACACTTGTCGTCATTGTACAATATTATATCTAAAACAACTAATTATGGATTAAAATTGAAGCCTCTTTGATCTCTGAATAGGTATTTGAAATCTTGTTTGGTTTCGGTAGTGCTTGCTTGAAAACTGCGAAATTTTCCTTTGCCAAGGTTCTTTAAGCTCCGACTGACAGTTCTTGGGGATATTTCCTAATGACGTCATTGTTGCTCGGCATAATATCACAGTATTATGCAAAAATTTCATTTAATCTCCCTGGTTTTATTGAAATTTCTTTATGAACTTAAGGGCTTAAATTGTCACTGATTGTTTTGAAGTCCGATTTTCCAAAAGCAGTTAGAGCAGGTATTTATATCGCTATACTGGGCAGTTTTATTAACATGAAAATCTCTTTCCTTTCTAGTGTATTGAAAGTGGCCGACATAGACTACAATTTTAAGCTGGTAAACGACCCTGAAATAGACAATAAATCAATTTACGAATTCACCTGGTCCACATATGGTATAGACCCAACCACAAGCAGGTACAGGGCAGTGATACCTGTTTCGCTGAAATTCAAGAACTACAAAACGCTGAGCTTTAGCCTTCAATGTAAATTTTACCCTGAAGAGGATACAAAGCATATAACCTGGGGCAAAATGCTAAATGGCATTGGTGTTCAGTGCGTTATTCGACGTGGCAGTGATTTGTCCTCTGCAGATAGTGTTGTATTTTCCTAAATTGTTTGGAGTTTTTATTGGAGTTGATTGAGCAAGTTCTGATTACCAATCTCACTAGTAAGGAGGCGTAAGTGGTCAAGGCAATCAAGCAGCAAACGCTTCTACTGCGGAGAAGTCTTCTGCTATGAAAGAAAAGCAAAGGCCTTTAGTAACCTTGATTCTTAAATCGTTATTGTTTCTTCATTGTCATTTCTTGATAAGAGCCAAACGCTTTCCGTTGAATCCATGGTGGCGTAAAATTGTCTGTAGCTCAATAACATAATTTCTCCCATTTAGAAGATAAAATTATGTCCATTTTCATTTTGATATTGTGAAACCAGAGTTTAGGTAAAATTACCTTTAACCTTTAATTAATCTTTGATGAAGAATCCCTATATTTTTGAATTAATCCATTTTTATTAATGTTCCATGATCCATAGGTTTAAACTCTGGCATCGTATTCAAAATTCGTCAAATTTTCCGTTTTCAGAATGACATTTTCGCATAGGAATTCAGGTAATGGGCTGCTTAATTTCTAAAATTTCTTAATTACTGTGATATTGGTATTATAGTTATTTCATAAATATAAGAGATCAATGATGATCTATACTTAAATTATTAGGGGATGAGTAATGGGATCTGATGGATCGAAATTCAAGAAATCTGCAGCCTGTATTCTAAATGAGCTTTGCCCATACATTGCCATTTACTACTTCTAGTGGTAAAATGGGTCGGTTCAGGCTACAAATTGAAATAAGTTATAGCTTGTTTTGGTCATATCCCAAAGAAGACAGGGCCTAATTTCTTATTATGCTCTTTTCTAATGTTCAAACTAAACTGAAACGAGATATGATATCGATATTTTTGTGATATCAAATAGTAACAATGATAGAAAAATTAGTTTTATTTTACCTGGAATGTTTTCCTAAAGTTAACGTATGTTTAAAATTTTTAATTGGACGTGTTTTGATTTGGGAATAAATGTTCGACTTCATTTTCTCATTCTTATTATCTCAATCGATAGCTGTCTGTCTTGTAACTAAAGTTTGAATTCTAAAGTTGCTTTGAACGTCGATTTCCCAGTTGGTGAAGTGATTAATTGATTGATTGGTTGATTAGTTTATTGATTTATTGATTAACAGGGTTGCCCCCGAGTTTATTGATTAACTGATCTGTGCTTTTAGGTCGACTGACGGCACTGCTGGTCAACCATAATAGGTAGGCTTGCGCCATTCTAAATTCAAATCTCTCTCTCCAAATTGTTCCTTTTTCAAAATATCATGAACCCCAAGAACCATCTCCAACCCAACCTCTTTGATGTCAAAGACCCTTGCTTTTGACTGGCTAACATTTAGGAGATGAGGTTTCGAACGTCCAGACCCTTTTAATTTAACAACACAAGCCAATTTCCCCGTAGTTCGTTTGTTGCTAGTGGAGAGAAGAAATTACCGTTCCTCATGAATACACCGTTTAAACTAGTATATTGTAAACATAGCCGTACCCAGCAACAAAGGCAAATTTTTGCCGTTGGAATATTTAAATGTGACATCTAGTCCTATGCAAAGGAGATTCCTCAAAGACGATAATTCGCGCCCTCGTATGACCTTTTTTGATGCATTTTTGTTGAGTCATATAAGCTTCTTGCAAAGATTTTGGAGGTTATGATAAAACTCTTCCCTTGAAATGTTTGTAGGAAAGAACCCTTTAGCAGTAACAAAAATCTGAAAATGTAACAGGAATTGAAGTGAAATTTTAGCTGATCGTCTCAGCTGAATCACAGACAAATGACAGGTGAACAAGGGCATCTAGTAATTCATGGCGCCGACGAGTTAATTTAACTGCAATGAAGCTCTCTTGTCGTATAATCCCTTATTAATTTACACTATCCTCCTTAGCTACTCTATCTTGGATTGCTGTATAACATCTGGTTTGAGTCAAAGTTTAATCCTCTCATGCATTTTCCACAATACGTAGCTAGTATTATTATTAAAACAGAGAAATTCATTATTTATGAGGTTAATACTAGAAAAGTAATACTTTCAAATTTTGTGTATGTTAATCCCTACGAATGCATTTAAATAATCATAGATTCATTATTACCATAGTTTTCTAAATATACAATAACAACAGAATACTATATAATACCACTTTGTTTCCTGCAATCTTCATGTTTTTATTCTCTAATGGCGTTGACTTTCGGACATGACCTTGGTTTAAGTATTTTCTACACCCACTTGCAGCTTCAAAATGCAGAAATAATTTCATGCCTCTGATTCTGAAATATAGTTACAGGATATCTGTACCATAGAATCTCCTAATTTCGCATAAGTTACATTTGTCTCGTGTGTCTTTTCAAAACCGAAGCAAGAGCTGTGCAGTTCGAAGGATAAATAGAGAAAGAGAACTTTTTCGTTAATAAAAAAATATCTGCAAAAACTTATTTTTAATACCAAGGGTTGATAACATGCTTACTAAATTTCTGAAGTTGTGTTTAATCGTATGGCTGATATAATTTGTAAAGGTATAATTGACTCATGTATTCGGAAACTGGGCAGTATATCTCTAGAGAAAGAACATTTCCTCTTATTTTGTAACTCCCAAGAATGTAAAATGGTCTTCGATCAAGTGGTTTCCAAAAAAATTCGCCAAATTATAAAGAGCCATTAAAAAAGGATCCTATTTATTTGGTGAAGCAGGTTTTTCTTGCCTTTCTAACGAAAATATTTCTTTTGGGTGTACCAGCTTCCATTCCATATCCTTATCAAAGGAGTGTATTACAGAAAAGTTCGACACTTCATGAAAATTTAACTTTAAAATTTTAACGATATTGTGATTAAAAAGACTTTACTAAGCTGGTCCATCCAGTTACAGAACCGAGGCACAGAGAATGGCTGGGTAGCGTCACAGGCAGACAACGTAGCACCCCTCCCTATTCAATGTTTGGGCGTATATACTGTTCAGGTTTGTAGAATGAACATGGGAGTGAAAGTCATTTTAAAGAAACCAAGGCTATCTACCTATGTTCTCTAAGAAATGCGGGCATGTACTCAACTCCCTCCCTCAAGTTTCTACCTCATTTGAATTCAAGTGTCTTGAGTGTAACGCCAGCATACTTAGGCCATTGACCGAATACTGCATCATGTATCCATGGTATACTCTTTCTGGCTTGTTGTAAATCTTTGTCTATAGCTTCGTAGCTTAGCCTAGCTCATGAGAGGAAGTGGTTCTTGGAAAGTCCACAAGCCTATTATCATGTTTCTAAGGTGAAAAGGTAGAAAGTCCAAAAAACCAGCCTACCGCCTTTACAGCTTCATTTAATTTCCCTTACAGCTCTTGATAAAGCTTTAAAAATAGAAGGTTATATAAAGAAACACTTACTTTTTCCTTCAAGGGACGATAAGCTCGTTTGTAAATTCTAGGCTTTCCAATGCTTCAACATGCATCCATTGTACATCCATATGTTCAGAACATAGCGAAGTAACAAGTCAAAAATTTAACTGTTCCCATGATAGTTTCTCACGCATGGCATAAACAAATGATAGCAAATATTTCCCTTGGGAGCTTCCCAGAATTCCAAAGGCATTCGTGTCATAACCTTTCGAACTAAGAATCCACATATAGACAAGGCTGCAAGAAATCATTTTGTGAAAAGAAACTCGTTTTTAATCTCAATCATTCCACAAAAGAGTACGATTGAGAATGCTTTTGTATTCTCATTTCGCATTTTCTATATATTCTAATTGGACCTATTACCAAATCGAAAATTATAACAAAATATGGACACACATTTGCAGGTCCAGAAAGGCTCATGATAGACTGAAGGGTTAGCAAAGTAAGCAGAGCTTTATAACAAAAACAAAATATATTTGATTTAAAAAACTTTATATAAAATCAAGACTGTATTTCATTACAAAATTTCAGAACTGAAATTCGATTAAGATGGACCATAGGCCAATCGGAATATAAGAATTCAATAGAATCACACATAATTAAAGCACATTTTAAACAATCAAGACTTTATTACAGAATGCGTAAAAATGTTTGAGAGACCAATTTTCCAAGCTACTATGGAATTCGAGTACTTTGTACAAACAAAGAATGTTTTTTTCTAAAACCTAGCGAATATGCAGATTCCTATCGGCTTTACCACGGCGATTTTCTTTGGAGAGCTTCGATTTAAAGAAAATACTAAGAATATGTACAGCTGTTTTCAGTTTTAAAACAAAATTAAACTACAGCGCTTAATTAATAGGTTTCCCAATATTATAGAGAAAAAAACACTGGATTGGATTGTGGGTTAACTTGGATAAAAACAGGCTATTAAGATGTGCCACTTTGGTCTGTCAAATACAAGTCATTGATTCGGGAGACTGCAAGTACCGATACCACTCTAAAAAGGACTTCGAAAGAACTAGCGCCTCACAATAACTAGCGGTTCCCCAAGTAAGAAAACTTAAGGGTGACAAAAGCCCCTCAAAAAAGAAAGGGAACATTTTTAAAAACATTATATGAAATATCAAAGCAGATCCATGGAGTTAAAACTATATTATGATGATTGTTCGGCAACGAATGCCGTTCGAAGGATTGCAACTACAGTCACCTAAACCCATTCTCCCTAACATACAAGAGTTTATGTTACCTCTCAGCGGTGAATTGACCCCTTATTAGTCACCTAAGGTGTTATGAACATTATTTTGGAGGAGAGAGGGTGCATTGTCAGTAATTTCAACCGGATTATTTTAAGATTTCAAAATAATACTATAGCAAAAGGGCGTCTCAAGGACCGTGGCACGGATTGTAACATGGGTGATGATTTAACTGCTTCGCTATGAAACCATTAAAAAATATCCCAACGATAGCTTACAATGCTGCTTAAACCGATCTATCAAAGCTTGGTATACGGTTTGCACGCTAGAGCATCAGAAGTAGGCAAATATATTCAGCCATCTTTCACGGTTACCACTTGGGGTTGTCGTTTGTCGGTAAAGGCAACGAAGAAACTGTTTCCAGGTCGAGTACCCCGTTTGCAGACTATTGGCTTGACGGCTGCTCAATCGAACGGTTATGAAACCAAACCATCGAACGACAAAAGGTTGGCATGTCAATCTTTATCCCTTGCCTTTGCCATCATCCTAGAAATCATACAAAGAGACAGATCAAACAAAGAAATTCCCCTATTAAAGCTCTAAACTTGATTGGGTTGAGATCTCCACTGTGGAACAATGTTACATTTTCTTATATCATTTGTAACTATCAAAACCTAGGTTTCATAAAACACAGTACATACATACATATGGAGAGAATACATTCAAAATGAATCTTAGGTTAAGGCTTTCGCAGCACCTTTCAAGAAAATAGAAGGATTGAAAAACGAATGGTCTTTTATTCACCTGTTTATTCTGCTTGTATTAACTGGCTTTTTAATGCTTGGCCTAATTGCAGGCGGGTGGGGCACCATGTCTTTACTTTCTTCGTTTTTCAGTTCTTTTAAGTATGTTTCATAATACACTTTTTGTGCACGTTTTGCATTTGCGTTGATCCTTTTGCTTTCCCGCGATTTGAAATACTCATCATGACTTTCAAAAGGCCCTTCAAAAGTCTGCGTTCCTTTGCTTTTTGAAATGTCATTAACAGTTCCAAAATCGTCACTGACAACCTTTGGTGCAGAGGGTGCACCAGCACGTATGAAGTGCTCAAACGTTCTTTCGGCGCTTTCTTTTAGGTAACTTTTCTCTTGAAGTAAGAAATTGTTGTTTTCGTCGGCATCACGTGATTTACGTTCAAAAGTTCTCTGCGAAGGAGCGCTGGAATGACGTAAGTGATTCATCCGCTTCTTGCTAGGCAAGTGGTTGCTCAAGCCATTTCCATGTTTCGTCACGCCAAGTAAATTTTGGGACTTCTTAATATCTAGTGAAAAGAGAACAATCGTGAAAACAGGATGATCAATCTTTATTCTGTTAGTTTGGTATTTAACTAACTTTTATAAGTTTTGTTGGAAAAACAAAGAGTTGGCTTCGCTCCTTACGAGCGATGGCAGAATTTTGCTCCATAATTTAAAGATATTAACCATTCTGTGAAATTCTTATAAACATCTAGATAAAACTTTCATGTTTGAATTCAATTTTACATCAACGGTTTGTTTAAGAGCAAATTATTCATTCAAAGACAGAATTAATCGCTTTACGTAATCTTCCCTTTCTGTGAAAATTCTTATCATACTAAAAAAATTTCAAGCTATTAGACAATTTTTATCTTACCCGTGTGCCTTCCTTCTTTCTCTGCGTTTTTGCCACTGGCAGCCATGGCAGAAGCGGGGCGGCCTTTGGCAAGACTTTTTGCCATACTCTCTATCATTTGAAAAATACTTATATCAACAAGAAACCAAATTAACTACTGAATATATATCAATTTCGAAATTGGAATATAAAAGCCTTCAGGAGGTTAGTCAAGTTTAGCAAGTTATAATATGCCCAGAATGAGCCAAGAATTATCAAAAAGATCTTATCGAAACTATGAAAGGCATCTGTTTGATTTATCAAGGGGATGAATATCAGATGATATCTACAACATCAGGTGGTGTGTATCCTCAAACACTAGTTAAGAAGAATTTAAAGTCTCAATACGTATTTACACCACATTCTCGTGTGCACAGGTCCATTGATCTGTTGTGTAATAAACACCTCTGGAGAGCGGGGTGCTCTCTTCTCGATTAGCTTAGCTACTGAGAGGGTTCCTCCTTAAGAATTCCATTTCATACAAATCCTCAAGTATCGTATTGTTTCCTCTTTATGTGTATTATTATGTTACTAATTATTAATTTGTGGTTTCTTATGATGTAAGTTGTTTAATAATAGAGTGTATTGTTAATAGAGTGTAATGTGGAAGAGCTGGGAATAGCTTAGGTTTTTGTGTAATTAAATTCCATGAAAAACTAAAGCTATGGTAAGGGCCGCCGGTAGGTTTTGAGGCCCTGGAGAAAAAGGGAAAGACGAGGACACCTGCGAGCGGTGCGAGCAGAAAATTTCTCTGACAACGCCCTTCAGATTAGCTAAAAATGCATTTCAGAATATTTCTTGCAATTTTTCTTGCCATTTTTCTTTAAAACGTTTTACTATTTTCATACATACTTTTGCTACGTTTGATCAATTCCATTCTTAAAATAAAATTCGTTGCTTTATTTAGACCTCGAGGCCCTGGGGCGATTTGCCTCCCATTGCCCCCCCCCCCCTCTTGGCGGCCCTGGTTATGCTTACAATGCATACATACATCATACATACCAGGTGGGTTAGCAGAAGCCGGCCTTTGTTTGATGTCAGCCGCCAGCCTATCACCAAAGACCCTCACTTTGGGAGCCTGGTTATTATATTTAATCAGTGGGGGTTGGGTTTGTGAGTCTCTTTTCAAAAGCAGATCTTTCCATGTAGAGTGCGAGGAGTCGTTATCTTTAGCTGCATTGGACGAAGGCCTGTAGAATGAAAAGTACTGCTTTTTAAATGTGTTATTAATGTTGCAACCCGTTTAAGTTGAAGACAATTCCGCGGCACTTTATAAATATTGTTAAAATTGTTAATCATCAGATCTCCTTCGATTCGAACAATTAGATCAGTTTATATTCGCTCTCAGAGCAAGAACGATACGAACATATTGCACTGTTGTTTTAACAAAAAAAGACTCAGGAGCAAGTCTAAATTGGACTTTTGAAGCTTTGAAAATATGTTCCATGTCAGTTGCTTTTCGAATCATTCACTTAAATAATAAAGCAATAAAAATAGGGCTGAAGATTTCGTAACTTCATTTTAAGAAAGAAAAGAATAGCAGAAGGGACAGACAATAAAACAAAAGGAAAAAAGCTAGGTAAGATGTTCAAATTGCAGCTTACAACTTTGGGCCAAGGTTGACCTGCTCAGCTCGCTGTCTTAAATTTTCCTCTGGCTCACCAAGAAATATGCTGGCTGCTTTGTTGCTTCTTGTAAATATGCTCAGCAACTCTTCTAGTTCATTCTCACTTGGAAATGAAAGGATAGCTAAAAATTACCACAATCTATTAGGACTATCATATATTTTCTTAGCTTTGTGCATTAATAGTGAAGGAGAATGCTGATTAATTTTACCTAGAAAGGGTAATAGGCAAACCTTATGGTTGTATCAATCCCTAAAAATCAACCATAAATTTCATTGACTTTTTCGGTTTCTTAAGACACCCCCAATAAGGTTCCATGAAACTTATCGAACTGTCCATATTACTGCAAGAAAATTTCATTAGACCATTCACCTATTTAGATTTAAGCTTCAGATTTCTTAATATATATTTTTATGAAAGTTGAATAAGGTAACAAGTAAGCATTTGAGATACAAAGGAAAAAAATACCTTGCAACGGTAAGAAACATATGAAAAGCTTCGCTCGAAACTGAACTCTTTTCTGATATGTCTTCAGTATCTTTGGTCTTGCTTGCAGACGTATTACCTGAAAGCCGCTTTGTTTCCTAAGATAAAGCATGGGCAATGTTAATAAAAACATGCTCAAAGACTCATTGATAACAATGAGTCATTGCACTACGCAAGCATCCCATAATGCATTTTCAGACAGTCTGAAATCAATTATGGTTAATCCGTAAAGTTTACTGCCATTGTTTGGATTGTCGCCTGGATAATTTGCCACCCTCGCAAAGGCTCATTGTTAGTGATGAGTCTTTAAATCTGTTGAAAATCTTTAGTAGAAATGACTTAGACCTGAATACTATAAGGAATGTATTTTTATCATACATACCTGCCTATAAATGCTGATGAAATCTTTCAACTGCCTGACCAGCATCCTTTGCCTATGGGATGTACAATAATGTAATAGATGTGTATGCAAGACAAGTGCGTTCTAAATGACAAGACCCAGTTGAAATTAAAACCTCACCCATTTATTGTCTTTAACACTGTTTATGTTAGATTGCTCTACATCCATATGAATAAAATAAGCAGCTACCAATGAAATAAGGGTTCTGAGGATGGACAGACAACAACGCCCTGTCTTTTTTAGAAGTCCTTCACCCGTAATCTTTTGACGGGGTTATCTTTTGAGGAAAAAGATTAACGGTTGTAACGAAATGGCCGAAAAAAGTATGTCGGGATATCCTCCCTTTTTTGGCATAAGCAGGGTCAAAATAGTTTTTACAGTTTAGGAACTACAGTTTTTTTAACGCTAAAAAGCCAATTGGTAGCATGTGTAGAATGGACAAAAAGTTGCAGGAATCAAAAGGCTGTAAAAAATCTAAAAAGGGAAAGAACTAACTTTTCTTGCATTGGCAGACTTTTGCTTGGAGATATGATTGCCATTGGGCATCTGAAATTGACAGCTGCTCTTTTTAGAAACCGTAGCATCAAGCTCTAAAAAATACAGTTTATAAGTACATAAAGTACATTTTCACAATGCAATAAAAAGGAATTAAACCTCAAATGTTGTGACTTTGATACTTCAAAATTAGGACAGAATTTTCAGATTAAAAAACACAGATTTAGCCGGGGCCGGACCCACGATGTTAGATACACAGAAATGGTGTAAAACCTTAATATTGCAATACAACAAATAATGATTGGCTAAATAATATTGGTTGGGGTATACCCAATAGAACTTTAAACTGAGATTTATTGTATCAAACACGTAAACACGTATTACATATGTATATTCCTTTCATTAGGGTTGTCAAAAGAATTTTTACAGGTAGGTTATGTAATTCTGAAATCGAAACTGCTAAAAGGAAATACTAAAGCCAGTGATTTTGAATTAAGAAATATCGCACAATCTCAACGTACACAAGGACAATCTTAACAGTCGATTTAAACGTTGAGCTTTTTTAGATTTAAACTTAACTTAACCTTACCATCTGCTCCTCTTGCTTGGCCTCTTCTGCAGCCGAGACTAGTATCTGCCTTTGTGCAGAGGCACTACAAAAAGAGAAGAAATGGATTGGTGACATACTGACAAAAAAACAGTATATGGATATATTTTGAATTTATGATCTTGCAATCACAACCAACTTTCATTTAAAGAAACATTCTATACTGTTGACAGAAGATATATCAAAGAAATCTCAATCAAAACTTGCATTGAATTAAAAAGATTCCCTCACAAAAAACTCCTTGTATTCACTACCAGAGGCCATTTTGTTTCTAAACTGACAAATTTGTAGTAGGAATAATCAAATGAAATGTAAACCTGATTTCTTTCAGTAGCCTTGACTGCACCCTTTCAAGATATGAAGCAAATGCCTGTCTTGCTTGAAATTTACTACAAAGCAATTTGTATGATTGTTAGGGAAATTACTTTTCCAGACAGCAATATTTGCAAGTGACAATTTCAGCCAATTAGGTTTATTGGCTGATTTTTGAACTAAACAATTTCCAGCTTTAACTGAAGGTAATTTCTGGAAGTGAGGGAGACAAATTTGAAACCATTGTCAAAGGTATAAAGGGTAGGAGTTTTGAATTTTTGGCACTGTAAGATACCAAACATCGAAAGAAAATGTTGGTTAAAGAAGGTTTTATGGAAATGTTCTCGCTCTATGCCGTCCCTTAGCTTGCATTTTATTTCAAAAATTGTGTTGTGCCTTTCGAAGCCTTAAATCTACTTTATAACTATCATTCCTGAATACTGAAAATAAAAAGATTTTTGTAGACTGTTGAAATACCCAACACAGTGGTAAGGCAGCACAGCAATAAAAGTATAAAAAGAACTTGACACAAAAATGAATAATAAAAACTTAAATAGAAAACATAATCATTTGGCAGGAGCATTTGGCAGAAATACTACAACAAGACGAAAAAATGACAGTGATTCAATACATTGATTACACAGAAAAAGGTTTAAAGGCGAATAATTTGCATAAATTGAAATAATGAAATGAATAAGGTAAGGCCTAAGGGAAACTAAAGAGTTATAGGTAAAGACAGCATAAGGATAAAGAGAGACAATTACAGCAACGAAATAGATGGTATACAGATACAAAGAGAAAGGAAAATAAAAAAATTACTGAACAAAACCTTAGTGCGTTTCCATTCTCAATTATCTTGCCCAAGTCAAAATCTGCATTTTTACCACTCTTTTTCCCCAACAAAACTTGCTCATAGCTAGCGAATTCCGGCACATCTCCATTTGGCTTTTCGTCTGCAAAAAGAAGGAATGGATCGCCTGCTTAAAGAATTATGTTAAATGACGAATATTGTTTCCTATCCAACAATAAAAATGTAAGGAGGGATTCGATGCAATCACTGTTAAATTTAGCTAAGCTGCTCTAATTGGAATATGCCTCAACTTGGAACAAACAGAAACCAGTCACTGAATAGCAAATGACAGAAAATGGTGGAAAGTTGCTTACTTAAATCCAGTGAGTGACACAGTAAACTGCAAAATAATCAACTTAAAACGATTTGCGAAGAAAAAACACTAGGCTTTGATACTTGAAACGGTTCCTGCCTCATGTATTTACTGAGCATCTAGCCTACTGTCATAATAAAAAAAAGTTCCAAAAGATTGAACAATCTTACCGTTATTGGGATTGTCGCTAAGACATTGATCCTGCCAAATAACACAAAATAAATCAATTTCGGTGAGTGGAAAAAAATTTCAGTAGAGCTATAAGGAAAACAAAGGAGAGATCTCCTTGAAGATAAAAACTCAAATCTTGCTCAAATCATGTATTCGGTCAAATGAGTTTCCGAGTATTTTTTGTAAGCGTCGATGGTGATTTATATTCCTGTAGGTTTGATTAGATGTTCCATTCTTATATCACAATGCCTCTTTGAAAGCATTTTAAACTTGCATACTACGATTGATAACAATCTTTTCCCTTTTCCACTTGCAAATACTTTGTATTGGAACATCTGTAGTTCAAGGGCTTCCTCAAAATCCTCAAGTAATTTATGAAACATTTCGTCGAAAGAAAAAATTATATTTTGCTAAAGTTACCACTGATAAAACAATTTTGCCAATTCATCATTAACAAATATATAACGTAAATACCCATGAATCCAGTTTTTTCTCATAGCAGAGGTATCTTCTTTGAAAACCCATTCCATGAGCTGTTTCCTTGACCTACAAGACAAACAAAAATAAGTATGTACCCATGGTGCATTGATAAAAACTAAGCATTCAAACTACATCAAACTAAATCTACCTTCACTTGTTTTTGGAAAATACCACTAACACTGAGGATGAGTGAAAAAGACTGAACTCACGATTACTTCGTTGTGTGACCTGCTGGCACTGCCAATTAAAGGCCTAAAAAAGAGGCACTGTCATCAGCAATCAATAGAAAACAAATATCTTATCCAAACATGTAAGCACGAGAAACATGTCAATGAATGCGTGTAAAAATGCTTATATTCTATATTTTTAGAGGGGTAACAAAAGTAAAGTAACTTGCGTTTCTTCTTCTTTGCCTGTCAAAGCCGAATGACATTATAGTTATGGAATACTGTTGTTCAAATAACGATGTGTTTTTTAAGAGTAGAAACTGGTTGATAACAGTTGACTGAGCATAGAGGAAAGGACAGTGACCCTTCAATGGGAAATTACAAAAAAGAATAATGAGGCTCGAATTGATTTTGAAAATGAAAGAACTACAAGATGATGAACTAAGAGATGGAAAATTAAACCTCTTTCCCTAGACCAGGTTATTGTACTCAGAAAGAGGCAAGCAAAGAAAATATGTTTGAATTCTGCTCTACACTTGTCTGAGACAGAATTTAGAAATAGTCCCCACCTTCCTTCGGGTGGGGCACTTTCTTAATAATTTAACTTGTATCTCTTGAGTAAATAAGAAGTTTGAGTAAAATCATCTATGGTTTTGTCTTAACGCCTAAATGATGAAAATAAAACAGTTCAAGCATAATGGTATTTTCCACTAACTTTATATACACTTATCAAGTTAAGCATTGCACTTTTCTCAAAACCACTGCATCGCTTGATGATCTACCTCCGGCTCACAGCTTAATTGTAATGTTTTCTGAACTCTGATTTAAGATAGGTCTAGAACGGCAAAAATCTCTCGTCTGTTTTAATAGCACTGATTAGCACAGTAAAGTTGAAAATGTACCTTGACCTAGCAACATATCTCGCAGATGACGGGCGTTGGTTGCTGGACCATCTGAAATATCGAGAATATATGAGAAAAGTAGATTGGAAAGAAATACTGAAACAAAAGTAGTAGAAATATAAGATTTATCAGGTTGAGACAGTGGCGGTTTCAAGGGGGTCCATGGCCCAAGGCCCCGCACTTATGGTAGCCAAAAGGGGCCCCACACCTATGAAAAAATATAGATTATTGAAAAGAACAAGGGCCCCGCAGATGTCTTTGGCCCCGGGCCCATGAGTCCCAAAAACCGCTGTTGGGTTGACAGTAAGTGGTACCTTCTAAGGTACTTACAGTTCTGGAAATAATCCTGCGTGTAGAGCTTTGTTTTTGCCAGAGCTATGTTCTTGTAGTGAGCTGCATAAGATAACAAATAAAATCATATTTTGCAATAAAAAATTCAAAAATACACTCCTTGGAATAGGATTTAAAAAAAGGAATAAACACAATTTAATCAATGTTATTTTTCCAAATTGGCAGCTCTAATGATGTCAATAAAATAATAAAAAAGACTTTTGCCAAAGCTATCTATTTAGCAAGCTCGTCTAGTAGCAATATTTCATTTCAGTACGGAATAGAATATAGTGTAAGAAAGATTAGAATTTTAAATGAACTACGTCAAACTGCTTATGTATCAAAGGTCTTCTGGCAATCGCGCGATCCAAGGAAACACCCTTTATTTGCAATTTTTCGAATATTCAAAATCAGCAATGAAAATTAATGGATGTATTTATGTTTTCGAGAGTCCTCGAAATCTCTCACTAAATCGTAAAAACGGTCCTCTTCAATTATTTCACACTAAAACACAAGACAATGCAAAGCACAAAACTCAGTATAGTAAACAACCAGGTTTATATGCCTAATATATATGAAGTTCTATGTAAGCCAAACAGACCTAGCCTAAGCCTTAGACTAGTACTAACTTGTACATCTCCCATGATTCTGGCGTTGGATATATTCGAACGAACTTCCCCCTTCTTTTGTATTCCTCTTTAGCCTCTCTGATCATCCGTAGTTCTTCGTTTGATAGCCCTTCGATTGATGTCTTTCGTAAGTCTCCAGATGACGTAGCAGGTTTGATATCAGTACTGCTGCTTGAGAAGGACCGGTATCTCTGTGAATCAAGATCATTTTGTTTCATGAAATTCGAAGATTATTCCAAACATCACGTAATTAAATCAGTAAACAACACTGGCCTCTCAAATGAATCCAATAACGCTTTTATTATGAGTTCAAAAATTTTGTAGAAAAAATTATAAACATTAAAAGTAGAAGATTTCTTACAAAAATGAGGCTTCACTCTGCTTTAAATAAATCTCAGACTTTGCCTGTGATGTTATCATAATGGTTCAGGCAACTTGGTCGTTTTGCAACGAAGGTAGGCTGGTAAAACATTTATAACACAATCTGTTGGGTGAATTTTAATAATCAATTAAAATAACATAAATAAATAAACTTTTATACGTTTCAAAGTTATCTACAATTTACAAAGCTAAAATCATTGATCGAATTCATCAAACAAAATTTTTTTTGTCAAAAATTGCCCATTACAATTCTTTTGAAATTTTTTTATTTTTATTAATAATAACAATAATATTAATAAATTATTATTATTATTTTTATTTAAATTATCACTCTAGTTATCTTATTATATTACCTTTATGAATAGTTAAATACCAAATACTGTTTCTTTACTAGCTATTACCTGTGGAAGGCTGCGTGCCGATAACGAATTCTTTCTTCTATCTGGCTTGACTGTAACTGGGTCCTTTGCAATAAACCCTATCCAATACAAAGAATCAATTTTCAAATACGCCACTCTCAGCACTGCCATAGATTAGTCAAAGGACTCCAGAGTCCAAGAATTCTAAAGAGCAGATGCACGACCAATGCCCTTCATTAACCTTTGTCTACTAAAGGATGGCCTAAATAGTGTGTGGATAACCCTGCTTTCTCAACTTCAGCCAGGTAGATACCTCATAGGCCATGTTTTCCAAGGTTGGGAAACTTCAACTTTTACAATTTTCTAGTCAACTTATAGCAAGATGTTGCCTCTATTAGACTTCTACACAACTTACTATTTATTCATCCTAAAAGATTAACGCGTTAAAAAAGTGGCAAGCCAAATGCAAGGCCATATAAGTCTCCCAACAAGCCAAATACTCCCCCCATGTACCCTCAAAAAGCCATGCACCCTCAAGAAGCCTTGTACACAAGCCATCGCTAAAAACAGAATGATACCAATATCTATTAACAAACGAACATTTTCAATAGCATTACCAGTTAGATTGAAAAGGTCCGTCAGCAGGTTGGCCTTGATTTTCAAATCCAGTGGCGATTCACTAAGGAAAGAAACAATTTTCCATGAATGCTATAAATCAGAGTGAACTGAAAAAGATGGTCAAATTTGCCATCATTGATCTGAATCGTGTATTCGATAAAGCGTAGGACAGCGCATCAGAACTAGTACAACAGACTAAATGCCTATAATTATCTTGCTGCATCAGAGTGCATCAAACCTCTGGGTGCCGTAAACAAGTTGAAGTCAAAATATCTAGAATTCGGGGAGGCTGGCAAACTCTCTGAAAACTAGTGACAGATAGTTCCAAAAAAGGAAAGTGAATCATTAATAGCCACATAGTCATCTGGCTTAAGAAGAAATATGCGTAGCAACTAAACATTTGTATTTTTAA